GGCATCCATTGCGAATATAGGTTTGCTGTTCTCCTACCAGAGGCAGGGCTCAGTCCCTCTTGACACAATTTCCAGTTCTTTGCCTCCTCCCAGCTCCTCAATGGGACCAATCCAGGTACCTGCCTTTTACCACTGCCTCGTGGTGGCTACCTTCCTGGGGGACAGCTGGATACAACCTATTTGACTCACTCACTGACCCCCACACACCCATGTGGACTGAGCAGGTGAGCCACCATGCCCCCCCAGTCATGGCATGCCTCCATGGAACTGTTCCTGCTTGCTTCAAACCTTCGAGTTAGAAGTTCCCTTGGGAAACACCTAGGACCCAGTAAAGGCCTCAGCCCGCAGGTCCCGCTCTCCGCTGGTTGAGTGCATGTCCCGTTGACCCCACAAGGCCCGCTACCCTATTCTCTCCAGATCATCAAATTATACACAACTGCTGTCTTTTTATGTGCTTTCTTGTTTCGTCAGGGTCTCACCTGACCAGCACGCCTGAACCTAACTTCTTTCCAGGCCAGGGCCCTCCTAGAGAGGGGCTACCCTGGGGGGAATGAACTGGACCCAAGTCAGACAGGAGCCACAGGGCATTGGCCAGTATAAACACGTTTCCCATGAGAGAAGCACCTGGTCACAGGTCAGACACTTGAGCATTAGCTGTCCACCAGGATCAAGAAGTGTCCCCATAAAAGCCCCACCATACGCATCCCTGACCAAATCCCAGGAGCCCCCACAGGGCAGGGCTAGAGTTTATACCACTCTCTTGAGAGAGACCCCAAGACCAAATCAAAGGAAAATACAACGTAGGTGGTGACCTGGCCTGCCACAGCAGGGGCTGACCACTACGTTCACACACTAGAACTTAATTCACACCTTTCCTTGGGCCAGGTGCAGGCAGGTGGGAACCCACTCAGACAAAATAAACACACACGTGAGAATTTCCTCATGTCCATATGGGCTTTTGCTCAGACTCTTCCCCCCTCAGGGAAGGGAAAAGTGTAACTGAAAAATAGAACTAAGTCAAAATACTATATACAAAAATATACTATATATATACAAAAACAGAACTATCGTCAAAATACTACAAACTGCCTCCCAGTCTGTGAAAATATTACCCTTGATACTTTCAAAAATATGATTTTTATCTTTTTTTTATGATTTTTATCTTTATTGATTTTTTCCAAGGCTAAAAATGACTGCAGATAAGCTGACACAGGAAGAAACGGGTGACTTCTCAAGCAAAGCTAATTAGCTGCAAAGCCCAGTGAACACACAAGAAAATGCACGGGTGGCCTCCCTGTGCCCATGACGGATTTTGTCGGCTTTAATTTGATGTCTGCCTGAGCTGTCTTCCTGGATCCAGGAGGACTGACACCCATCATCAAGCTCTCGCTGATGCTGCAGAAACAGTGAGGCGGGCGGCAGGCCGGGACTTCTCAACTCCTTACCGCTCTGGTGGGTACCTGCCCTGCTCTCACAGCGCCCCCCCCCCGTGGTAGCTGGGGAGCTCGGCCCCTCTGCCTCACATTCATCAGAGAATTGAGCAGTGCTGGCAGTCTCAACTCTCTCCCTGCTAAGACATAGTTTAATCTCATGAAGATGAAAAAAACCTTGTAATTTAATATTTATTTTTGAATAAACATTGGTTATTATTTGTTATGCTTCACATTTTATAAACTACGATATGAAAATAGAAGCGAACATTTACTGAGCCGGCAATGTGTGCCAGAGGCTAAGTTCTCACCTGCTCTGTTATTCCCTTATCCCCATTTTTCAGAAGAAAAAGACTTAAGTACAGAGTAGCTGAGATCAGGCAGATCCAAGGCAGGCGGGAGTCGTTTGCAGGTCATTGTTAAACTGATCCCTACTGGGATCGCTGGAGTGTCAAAAAAAGAGCCTGAGACACAAACTGCTGTCTTTTAACCAATCGCTCTTCTGTGTTCACGGCTTGCATCTGTCTGGTACAAACACAAACCTGCGGTTGTTCTTCTCACACTTTTTCAATCACTCATATAGACTCTATCAGGTTGACAAGATCTCAGAGTTGTTCTGGGATCATTCACAAATCAGAATGACTGAGAGAAACTTTCACAGTAGCTGCCACAGCACAGAACCCAACAATGATTAACGTGACCAAATGTTACTACGGAACAAATTGGAGAAATGAATTTCGCACAGAACATTCAATTTCTCCCTGTCGCTGCTGTGTGATAAAAATTAAAATTGATATATAAATGTGTTTTGAAGTCACAGTGGGAATTACTAGAAGCAACTGGCCACACTACAGCTTCGTTTTGCTAGACAGGCACTCAAGTTTGCATCAGCATGGCAGAGAAAGTGTTTGAAACGATTATTCAGGATTTCAGCTCTGGTTAGTCCTCTTTGGCAAGCATGAGCATCAGTGAGTGTTAACTGTGGTAACCACACATACCCCCCAAACATTCTTTATTAAATAAATCTAGAATATCTCAATGATCTGAAAAAATCAATACAATAGTTATAGGGTCCATCTCTCTACAGAGAAAAGTCTAACCCAACATTTGAGGTATTATCAGTTTATGCAATATACATCACAGGGCTCTGATTTCTACCCGTGTAGACATCTTCATACCTGGGAATCCTTGCAAATACCAACATAAAATAAAATATTTACTTTTTTTTTTTTGGCTAGTGAGACTAAAAGGCACGATTGTAAAATATACATCTTGATAGAAAAATATTACAAGGGTTTAATTCTCCAGATACCAAGGACTAACATTTTAGGATTACCCTTTACAAAATGGGGTATTTTTGGAACATTTTAAGTTTTCAAAATCAGTACAAATCTTATTCATATTTTTACTAAATCCAATAACACTTTCATACACAGCAAAATGATCACTGTGCTTAGCTAAGTCTTTGTAGGGCACATGAAGTCCCAGGCCCACAGTCTCCTTTGATGGGCCCCTTGCAGTGTACACCAACACTCAGGACACGTGCTCCTGGAAAAACCATCTCTGATAATCTGAGTTGGTGCAGTCTCGTAAGAGTGGTTCATAATTGTCGCTAGACTCCTTCTTTGCAGCCTGGACACATTTCTTGGACTGCTTGTGAAATAAAGAACCATCCTACAAAAAATAAACAGACGCTGAATGTTCAAGAGAATTATGGGTGATTCCCCAGGGAAA